CTTGTGTGCAGAGCGCTAGAATCCGCTCGTTGGTCTCCATGGGGAGCTTGCCCGGAGCTTGGTTGGGATTGATTCCGTGGACTCTGTGGATCGGTAGGTGGAGAGCGGCTGCATTGACTCGGAAGTGTGGTCATCGTAGTGGCTGCCACACTCGGCAGCCTGGTGATCTCTGATCCATCACTCCTCCTCCCTTCCCCTTCTTTGCGCCCCGCTCATTTCCAGGGCTCTGCGCGGGCTCCTGCCGTGGGGCTGCTCTCCCCAGGCCGACGGGGGGCGGGGGTGACCGTGCGTGTCCTCGGCTGGCTCCTGACCTTGATGTGACAGTGGCCACCGGCGTGTTGTCAGCAAGCACGGTGTGTCTGTTGAGTGATTATGTCGCTTTCTCTTCATCTTGTTACTGCGGTGAATTGCCCTGATTTTATGAATGTTATGCTCCCCTCGCACTTATGGGAGAAGCCCCGCGGGGCCACGGGCACTGGGTGCCGTCTGCACGGACGCCAGTGTCCTCCTGGACCTGTGGGAGGACGCGAAGCCGTCTGGGCCTTTGCCTGGGCCTTCAGTTTTCTTTCTCACACTTAAAGATGAAAGATGCAGTTTCTTTGATGGGTTGCTTTTTCATAGGGTTTTGGTGAAGCAGTTAGATTTTCTCTTCCCTTCTTGTCAGTTTTGATGAGACGTCCTTTTCGGATTGATAGGAGTAATTCCGACTCAGACTGTCATCGGGGTCGTTCATAACCCTCTTTCTGTGCTCCTGGGTCTCCTGATTTTGGGGAGACGGCCTTTCTTCATTCCTGACCTTGGTAAGCTGTGCTTTCTCCCCGTTTCCTTACTTGACCTTGCATTAATCTTTGCAGAGCGTCGGCTCGTGGGTCTTCTGTCCTGTTTGTCTCCTTCTTGACGGGAGTCTTCTCTCCGTTACTCCCTCCCTCCGACATCTTCAGTTCCCTGTTCTTTTTCAGCTTCTTAACGTGGAAGATTTGGTCACTTTTTCAAGGCTTCTCTTTTTGATGTTTGCAGTTACCTTGTTACAAGCGTTGCTCCGGCTGGAACCCACGAGGTTAGAGATAGCTGTTTCTCCTTTTTGTTCTGCGGGCTTTTTCAAGTTTTATTTTGAACTACCTCTGGTCTCCCAGCAGAGTTGCAGAGACAGCTCCCTGAGCGTGCCCTCCACCAGCTTCCCTAGGGCAGACATCGCCCTGGCCACAGGGTTGCTGCGAGCCGCCTCGCCGTCCTTGGCCTCCTCCCGTCTGCGACCGTCTCTCCCAGCCTGCACACACTCGAACAGTCCTGGCCTTGGGAGTCCGCCGTGGATTTGGGGTGATCCCTTGTCTTTGCCCCACGGAGGGTGTACCCGGGCTCCCGTGGCTTGGCACTGGTGACCCAGGCCTGGCGTGCTGCCACGTTCCTCCCTTTCCCAGCTGTGCTCCTTAGAGACCAGTCCCTGAGGCCGGCCCACACACGGACGGGAGAGCTGTGGCTGCACCAGGGGGCGAAGCCATGGGCAGATGGGCCGCGCTTCTCTTCCAAGTGTGGCACGGCCCCCGCGCTGCCCTGCTGCCCGCCTTCCTTCCGCAGCGCAGTGCTCACGCCTGTGGCCCGCCCCCAGTTCTGTGTGGGTGTAGAGTCCTTGCTCTGCAGGACTGCTGTTTCCCCCTGTGGCGTCCGCTGTCCTTATGCTGTGTCCTTGTTCTTTCTGATAACCTCCTGCAGGAGTCTGCGCCCCGTCTGGAGGGAGAGGTCTCTCGAGCCAGCTGCGAGCCTCCCCCGTGGACCCCGCCGGCAGCCGCTCTTCCTCCACCCCCGAGCCCACTGTCAAGGTCTTTATCTGTGTCTGCTCGGACGTTTGGTTCATTTTGAGTTTTGTTTTGTTTTACTTTGTTTTTAAGTAGGCTCCACGCCCAGCCTGGGGCTTGAACTCACGACCCTGAGATCAAGACTTGAGCTGAGATCAAGTGTTGGACACTCAACTGACTGAGCCACCAGGAGCCCCTAATTTTGAGTTTTAAAAAAAGTTGAGTGATCATATTTTTAGTTGTTAAGGGCTGTATCTTTTTAATTATAGCCTCTTGATACATTTCTTTTTTTTTTAAAGATTTTATTTATCTATTTGGCAGAGAGGATGGGAGAGAGCACACCAGTAGGGTGAAGGGCAGAGGGACAAGCAGACTTCCCGCCGAGCAGGGAGCCTCATGCGGGGCTCATCCCAGGACCCCGGGATCATGACCTGAGCCGAAGGCAGACGCTTAACCTGAGCCACCGAGGCGCCCCAGATTTTATTTATTTATTTGAGAGAGAGGAGAGAGCGCGAGCAGGGGGAGGAGCAGAGGGAGAGGGAGAAGCAGACTCCCCCCTGATCAGGGAGCCCGATGCAGGACTCGATCCCAGGACCCCGGGATCATGACCTGAGCCGAAGGAAGATGCTTAACTGACTGAGCCACCCAGGCGCCCCTCTCCTGATACATTTCTGTGGATTGATATCTTTTCTGATATTCTGGAGGATGTCACGGGCTTTGAAAGCTATTTTCCGTTACCAGTCTGCTCGTGGAGCCTGGTGTTTCTCTTCCCTTTCGTTGCCCTTCCCCACGGAGGTCGCTGATTCTCGGTGTCTGTTCTCACTTCTGCAAAGGGGCTTCTGTCGCGGGTGCCCCTGGAGCTGGTCACAGGAGTCGCCGTGACGCGTGGCCCTGCTGGGGCACCCGTGTCCGCTGCACTGGCCTGACCTTGGGACCGGCTGGCGTCACCAAGGTTCTCCTGGTCTGGGGGCCGTGGGGGGGTGTCCTGTGGACGGAGGGCCTGAGACTCGAGCAGTTCTGACTGAGACCCTTCTTTTGCATGTTCCTGGGGCACTCGCCCGGCCCTGGCCCTGCGCTGGGTTCATTTTCTTGCTCTCCCGGCCGTTGCCACTGGCTTGAACGGAAAGACGGGCCTAATTTTCACAAAATGCCAAAATGTGTAAGGCAACTATGTGCTAGTGTGTTTACTTTTAGCATTCATTTTTTGGGAGGAAGCCTAAGGAGAATAAGCTATGGTTAGTTGACTGGGAATTGGTTTTACAAGAGTTTACGCTTACTAACGTCGTTGTACAAGTGTTCGTGCATGTCTGCATCATGGGATTTATCAGTTTGCCTACTGTGCTAACCTCGCATGGAGTAAAGTTACTTGGGGGTGGCTGGGGGTGACTGCTAATGGGTGTAGAGTTTCTTTTGGGGTCATGAAATATTCTGAATTGTGATGAATATGCTAAAACTATTTTTTTAAAAGATTTTATTTATTTGAGAGAGAGAGAGTGCAGACACGTGTGCACACGAGCAGGGGGAGCGGCAGAGGGAGAGGGAGAAGCAGGCTGCCCGCTGAGCACAGAGCCTGATGTGGGGCTCGATCCCAGGACCCCAAGATCATGACTTGAGCCGAAGTCAGATGCTGAACCGACTGAGCTACCCAGGCACCCCTTGCTACTGATTTCTAATATTTCTTTTTCTTTTTTTGAAAGATTTTATTTATTTATTAGAGAGCGCGAGAGAGAAAAACAGCATGAGAGGGGAGAGGGTCAGAGGGAGAAGCAGGCTCCCCACTGAGCAGGAAGCCCGATGTGAGACTCGATCCCAGGACCCTGGGATCATGACCTGAGCCGAAGGCAGACGCTTAACGACTGAGCCACCCAGGCGCCCCTAAAACGATTAAATTGTATACCTTAAGTGGGTAGATTTTACAGTATGTGAATTATATACAATATATTATAAGATAACTTCCTACAATCATTCTGAGCCCCCAAGCCACCAGGGAGCCCCCCACTTTGTTCCAAGAACTCCCAGACGGGCATCAGCCGGCAGGTAGGGGGTTCACAGGTCCTCCATCGCAGGCGTGCTGGGCTGAGTGTGCGTGCCGTGGGGAGCCAGGGAGAGGCCCCTCTCTGTGCAGTCAGGGCCGTGGCTGTGTGTCGGTTCAGCCCGGCTGGAGGGCTCCAGGCAGGGCCGGGGTGCTCCACTGGGAGGGGTGCTGACCATCTGGCCCCCCAGCTGCCAGAGCACATGCCGGCTGCTGGTCCCGCGGGGCGCTGGCTCCCGGGGTCCCCGCCTGTGGCTGGCGGTCATTGTTCGCCACGTGTGTGGGGCGGGCAGGCCAGGCCATGGGACCTGAGGAAGCCACACAGCCCTCGCCTCCCCCAGCCTACTGTCCTTGTCAGAGAGCAGGGGAGTCTGCACGTAGCTCTTGGTGGGCGACTTGCACGAGTCCCTGGCTTCTTTCCCTGGCCCAGCTTAGGGTGGCCTTCACCAGGAGAGGGTGGATCTGGGGAGCCAGGGCTGCTGGGTGCAGTGGGGAGTCTGTGTGCTGGGGTCCAAGGTGGTCGCCGGGAGTGGGGTGTGGGCGGGTGCTACGGTCTAGCCCTTGCTGTGTCCCGACCTGGGCTTCGGGCTCCCTGGTTCTGTGCTGTGTGGCCCGCGGCCCGCGGCGACCCCTCCTGTCCACACACACAGCACATGAGTCTCCTCTCCTGCTGCCGCCCACAGCTTGGGGGAGGGCCTCACCCAGGGGCAGGTGTGCACATTATGTCGCGGAGTCCGCGGACGTCCCAGCAGCCCCTTCGTCCCCGAATCTGCCAGGTGCTGCGCCTGCCCTAGCCGAGGCGGCCCACGGCAGGCTGGAGGCTGGCCTGACGACTGAGCCCCTGCTGGGAAGGCTGGGTGGGCATGGCCAGGCTCCCGGCTGTGGGAGCAGGCCCGGGGCACGCAGCTGTGCCGTCCGCCCTGTTGGGGGGTCTTGTCTGTGTGGAGCGCGTGCTGATGTTCGGCGGTGAGGAGGAGCCCCAGCCTGGCCGACACACAGCCCTTTGCAGGCACCGATGCCGTCTGGGTGCAGAGAGGAGTGCAGATCCTAGGCCCCCGTGTGCACACCGAGGGCCGGGGACGCACGAGAAGTGACGCTGACGGCGTAGAAGGGGGAGGGCCGGGCTGTGTCCTTCCCGCTGGGAACCAGTGGTAACATCTGGTGTTGTGTCCTAGGGAGACGTCAGATCCACCACCTGGGGAGCCAGCTGCAGCTGAACCAGCACTGCCTGGACACAGCCTTCAACTTCTTCAAGATGGCCGTGAGCAAGCACCTGACCCGCGGCCGCAAGATGGCGCACGTGGTCGCGGCCTGTCTCTACTTGGTGTGCCGCACAGAGGGCACTCCGCGTATCCTTTGCTGCGGGCCTCCCGGACGAGCCCCGTGCCGGCTCCGTGCGGGCTCCGTGTGGGCCGTCCCCCCTCCGACCTGCGCTCAGGCGTTCCAGAGACCCGCTGTTGATGAGGCTTCCCTGACTCAAGTGGCCTCTCACCAGCTGGGAACCGGGAAGCTGGGCGCCCTTGGCGAGGACAGAGCGCTCTCCGCCTGCGGCTGGCCGCCCTCCAGCTGTCCTTCTGCCCCCCCATCCGCTGGGCCTTCTTGGAGAGGACGGGGGTCTGTTCCACTCTTGTGCTTGGACCGCCTGCACTCCTGCACGGCCCCGGCAGAATTCTGTCTGCTGCGTCCCCCTGGGAGAGCCTTCCGGGCTCTCTCGCCCTCCACCCCGGCTGTCCGCCCCCTGTGCCTGCTTGTGCCTCTTTTCCGCCGTCCCTCTGGGCTCCGTTCGCCTCTGGTCCCGTGTCCTTGTTTCGTGTAGCCTCCGGTGGTTTCCTGCAGGTGGTCTCCTTCCGCCAGCGCTCTTGGGGACGGCCTGGCGGACTCCAGGTTGCACGTCCATCTCCAGGATTTGGACAGCGGTGCCCACAGTCTTCTGCTCCCCGTCTCCTGTCGAGCAGCTGGGCGTCCCGACCCGGGGCTCTGCCTGCGGTGGGCGTGCTGTTCCCCGGAGGCCTTTGTTCTCTCCGAGCTGTGGACCCAGAGTCCCTGCCGCGGCCTCTCGAGCCGCTCACGGTTCCTCCCTTGGCCTCACTGTCGCTCACGGCACAGCCCGCCATCTGCCTGCTCGCGTGTTCTCCTGGCTCCCGCTTCCCCTTCACTTCGGGGGACTCTGTCTCCCGCCACGTCTTCATTGCTGCTCCCGTGCTTCCAGCTGGAGGAGCTCTTTGTGTCCTCTGAGCGCTTCCTGTCTGTCGGTGATGTCCCGTTCTGGGGGGAGTGGTGCCCGCGTCTCTCTGGGGGCAGCAGTCCCGTCTGGGCACCTCTCGCGGCGTCTGTGTCCCCGTCACAGGCCGCCGTCACTGGCTTACGGCCCCAGCGTGGTTCCTGTTACGTGGGCTGCTGGAAGGCTCCTGGTGGCAGCGTGCATGGCTGGGCGTCTCGGCTGCCCTTCCGCTTGGGCAGCCCTCAACAGGAGAATCTGTCCTTAAAACGTATTTCGGAAACGTGTGGTTCCAGCATAAAGTGCCCGAAGCAGGTGAACGCTCGAAGTGGGGATGGGCCTCGGGGTCCCATCCCGGCACCCCGCCAGACCCCGCCGCTGCTCGGACGTGCCTGCCTGGCCTTTGTTGTGCTCTGCTCCCCCCAAAACCTGTGTGTGGCGCTGACGTCGCTGAGCAGGTGCACGGAGCTCGAGGGCCGGTGGGCTCTGCCCCCGCGTTCACGGCAGCACCAGGGAGCAGGACCTGGTGTGCAGGCCAGGCTCTGGGATCTGTCCAAAGCGTGGGGCTCAGAGCAGAAGCTCCCGTGGGAGAAGCAGGTGCCGACCACTGGACGGCACGCTGGCCGCGGGAAGAGCAGTGGGGTGCCGCGGGCGGGCGCTGTGGCGGGAGGGAGAGGGCAGGGCCCCTGTGGGGGAGCCTTTCTTACTACGGCAGAGTCCCCACTCGGCCCAGCGGTGCGGTCACTGTCGCCCGAGGTGGGGGCGCCAGACAGGAGCCGAGCCCGCCGTCCCTGGGCAGAAGCGTTAGGGCGGCAGCCAGGCGGGTCTGTGCGCACCAGTGAGGGGGGGTCTTGCCACCACGGCTGGTGTTGAAGCCTTTGATGTTTATGGGGTGCCACCGAGCTGCCGGCAGGCCTGAGCCTGGAAGCTGTGTGTGCGGGGTGGCCTCTCGCCTGCGGCTGCCAGCACCCACGGGGGCCTGGCGGCGGGGGACGGGTACGCACACCGCCGCCTGCAGACCCTCGTCCCCCGGGGCTGTGGGAGGAGTTTGCTTCGCGGGCCGGGGCTGGGCTTCCAGAGTCTGACTTCTGTGACTCCAGCCACTGCGTGTCCCCTCCTCACGTTCGTCTGACGACCCTGTTTCTTGCTTGTTCAGAGGGCAGTACAGGCCGGGACTGTCCCTCCTGCCACCAGCCCCCAGCCCACCTTTACCTGCTTCCCTCTGCCCCTCCCTGTGTGTCTCCAAGGACAACCAAGGAGTTTAAAGAAAATGTTTTTATTTTTTTTAAAGATTTTATTTATTTATTCATGAGAGAGAGAGAGAGAGAAGCAGAGGGAGAAGCAGGCTCCCAAGGAGCAGGGAGCCCGACGCGGGGCTCGATCCCAGGACCCTGGGATCATGACCTGAGCCGAAGGCAGACGCTTAACGACTGAGCCGCCCAGGCGCCCAAGAAAATGTTTTTAAATGACGATTTTCTAGATGAGTTTTCGGTTCACAGTGAGATTGTGGGAGAGCCCCACCCCCCACGCACGTCCTCCCCCGGCGCAGACACCCCCCTCCCCCAGATGGTGCGTCGGTTACACCGATGAACCTGTGTGGGCCTGTCAGCCCCGGAGTCCGTGCTCACCGGGAGCTCACTCCTGTGACGGGCCCCACTGGGTGTCTGTGTAGCTGACGGGGCCCGTGGTTGAAAGAAGGCCGCGGGACGGCTGGCTGGCACGTGTGAGAGGCGGCCGGCGTCACTGGGCACAGGAAGTTGCAGATCCAAAGCCGCTAGGCGCTGACGTGGTGCCTGCACCGCGTGTTGGCCAGCCGGGGGCTTCTGGAGCCCTGGGGGCTGCTGGCCAGGAGGTCAGTCCTGCCCCGAGCAGTGTGCACAGCTGTGTCCTGGGTCCAGGCGCGGGCCAGGTGTCTGCGTGGCAAGTAGCCTCCCCTCCCGGCTGCGTCCGTTCTGTGGGACCTTCCCGTGGGCAGAACTCTTAGCGAGGGCCATCTTCACGTCTTGTCCTTTACGGCTGATGTGTGCACCAGTTTGCCTGCCCCAGGTCGTGGAAGTACTCTCGTGGGGTCCCTTCCAGGAGCTTTCGGTTTTACGGGTCCCCTTGGAGTTTAGGATTTCTTTCTTTTTTTTTTTAAACAGACCATTGAGAATTTTTTTAAAAAAGATTTTATCTGTTTGACAGAGAGAGACACAGCGAGAGAGGGAACACAAGAAGGGGGAGAGGGAGAAGCGGGCTTCCCGCGGAGAAGGGAGCCGGATGTGGGGCTCGATCCCAGGACCCGAGCCGAAGGCAGACGCTTAACTGCTGAGCCACCCAGGCAGCCTGGAGTTTGGGATTTCTGAGGAGGGGTCGGGTTTGCTTCTCTGCGAGGGCCATCCAGCACGCGGTGCGCGAGGGTCTGCCGCCGGCGTCTCAGAGCCCTCCTGGGGTCCGCTCGCCTGCCCATGGGCCAATAGCAGACTGCTAGAACCGTGGCTCGGGCATGCATCCGAGGACCTGCTGCCTCGGGCGTCTGCACTGTCCTTGGCCCTCTGTCCTTCTGTGCAAGGTTTTGAATCAGATGGTCTATTCCTGTGAGAAATCTTGTGTGATTTTTTGATTGGGGTTTATGGGTCCACTTGTGGGGGATTGAAAAAGACATTGATGTGAACGATACTGATTCTTCCGATCATTGACTATCTGTTGTTTCTTCCGGGGTTCCCTACTTGCGGCGGCCTTGTGTTACTTTGGACAAGGGGCCTTTCCCGTGCTTTGTTCGCTTTATTCCTGAGCGAGTGTTGGCACGAACGTCGATGGCCTCTTGTTGGTGATGCAGACAGGGACAGTCCAGTTTCGTACATTGACGTTATGTCCAATACTACAAAATTCAGTTATTAATCTCACGTAATCTTCCTTAGCGTACCCGTGTGCGGCCAACTCTAGCTCAGCCCTTCTGATCTGTGTGCCTGTCACCCCCGTGGTGTGTGTGCCCCTGAGGGAGGCGTCCTTGGCTGTGCCCGGGCCACGGATGGCGCTGCCCACGCCCACTGTGCAAGTCTGCGGGCCCCGGCAGACACCCTTTATCGGGGTGTTCCGGTTCTTCTTGGCGCATCCTTGTCGGGGATGCGGCACCCGGTGGCTTGGAGGCCGTCAGCCCTGTTTCTTCATTAGGCGTCTGGGGGAATCCACCGCGAAGCCCTCTGGGCCTTTAGCGTTTTCGTGGCAGTGTGGCAATTACGGATTCCATTTCGGCAGCACGCACGGCAGCGTTCAGACTTGGTGCCTGTTTGTCAGTTCTGCTCCGTTTCCTTTGGCAAGGCACCGTTCACGTGATTTCAGACCCCACCTGTGTTGGCATAGAGTCGTTACGCCTGCTTGGCACCCTGCCACCACGGTGGACGCCCCCTTCCGCGTCTCCCGCGGGTGGCTCTGCCTCCTTTTCCTTTGCTCCGCCTTGCTGGGGTGCTGCCGGCTTTAGGAGTCTTTTTTTTCTGGGTGGTGGCTTTATGGAGACATAACCCACATACCGCGCAGTTCACCCAGTAGAGCCCACGACTCAGCAGGGCCCTCGCCCTGTCACCTGGAAGCAGCCCCACCCCAAAGCCCCCATCTCTTGGCCGCACGGTCTGCGGTCTGGGCGGTTCAGGGGGTGCAGGTGCGTGCGCAGGATGTCGTTGGCGCTCCGTGTTGAACCATGTGCGGCACCACCAGGCGGTTGTGCCCGCCCGCGGTGGGGGCGCCCCGGTGTCCTCCTGAGGAGCCAGACTTCTGCTTGGTCATTGACCTGTGGTGCGTGCTTATTTTCTGTGTCATTGATTTCTTTCTGTTTTTCCTCTTTCTCTGTTTTCTTTGGGTTTGACTTACTAGTTTTCTCGCTTCCTAAGACGGATGCTCAGGTTCTTGATTGTAGTCTTTCTGTTTTTCTAATAACAGCACTTGAGACTCTGAATTTCCCTCTAGACAGAGCTTAGTGACATCACGCAGCTTTGATGTGTCCCCTTCTTATCATCACTCTGCTCCAGAATATTTTCTAATTGACATTGTTACTTTGTCTCAGGTCCCTGAGTCCCGTACAAGTCTACTGTGTATTTTGAGAACAGTTGGGGGTTTTGTAGTTATCTTTGTATGATCAGTTTCCAGCGCAGCTGT